GATACCAACTTCACACCGTCGTGCCCCGCAATCCACGACGTCAACTTGGTCAGACAACAACCACCTGCCAGCATCGAATCAAGGCAACAACCCTCAGAGGCAGCAGCGCCCATGTCACACTCACCAGCACGCGTGCCGGACGCGTCCGCAAAGCCTCGAACAAAGCTCCTTGCAGCACTACGGAAACCCACAGCCGAGTCTTCAGAAAGCGAGGCTGAGTCTGATAATGGCAGCTCAGCATCTGAAGACGAGTCACCTGCTCCCATTGTCCTGTCGAAACCCCTCGCAATGGCAATACGCCCACAGTTGGATACAGACACAGCCAATGACGTAGACGAGAGCGACGGAGAAGATGCATACGAACTCATGAAGAAACGATTGGCTGCCAGCAAGACTTCAGCGGTGGCCGAATCAGCTCCACAACCAGCAGAGGGACGCCCACATGTCATTGCTACTGTTGAAAGTAGCAATGATGAAGACGAAATGCCTGTGCGCGCTAACGTTCGCAAATCATTTACGAAAAGAACAAAAACCGTGAGCCCTCGTGCCTCACCATCGCCAAAAGTACGATCACGGACAGCATCACCAGGTCTTTTTATCACGCCACATCCCTCGCCAATCAAGGATAAGTCCAGGACAGCAATAGATGCTGGCTCCGATTCGGAATCATCACAGCCCGTACACAATGCAGACCTACAAGAGCGAGTACGACGTATCCGTGAGGAGAGGCTGGCAAAGCAACAGGATCAGGAGGCACAGCAGAAAAAGTCCAATAAGACCACGCGGCGTCGGGCCGAGGAGGGATCTGGAAGCGACACAGATGGCGAGAGCGGCAGACGGCTTACCCAACAAGCCAAGCCAACTCGAAAAGCAGGGAAGAAAGCCATGGAGGCAATGGCCCGGGACCAGCAGCGTATCAGTCGCAATATGCAGCTCACGCACCAGGCAAAGACGAAAAAACGCTTCACAACTCAGGATCTCTTCAAAAAGTTCAACTTTCAAGCGCCAAACACCGATGCCGCAGCGCTTCCAACACCTGATCCAAGCTCAGCGTTGACCTCTTCTGACGCAGAGGTGAACCAAGCGCATGATGCTCAGCCGAAAAGCCCATCAAGACAAGAACACGACGTGGAAATGCACACCGTGCCGAGCGATGAGAAGACTGTTGATATGACGTCGGAGACACAGAACGATATTCACTCTCTACAGTCCGCCAAGCTTGATAAGGGCAAAGGAAGAGCACCAGAGTTCCAACATCTTCCAGAGCATCCTTGGATGAAACAAAAAGAGACATCAACGCAACAAAATACTGTAACGGATACAAAGACTGCTCAGGATGACGATATGGTGGAGCTCTCAGACTCAGACGATGATATATCTGTGAAACAGCCAAAAAGCAGATTCCCTGTCTTCGATCGATTGCCCGTCAAGAAAAAAGATGAAGTTGGCTCCCTCGTACACCTGCGTGCTCTTGCTCAATTGGCAAAATCACCTCCAAAGGTCAAGAAAGGTCAAAAGTCTGTCACTCGTGGCGAAATGGAGCTTTTATTGGCTCAAAAGGCTCGTCAACAGACTGCCAAAGCCCGAGAGGAGAGAATCGCTGACCTCATCAAACGAGGCCACAATCCCGAAACCGAAGAGGAGAGAGAAAAGCGCCAAGAGGAAATCGACGACATGGTGGCCATGCTCGAAAAGCAAAGGCAGGAAGACCTCCAGCTCGCCAAGAGAGAAAAGAACGAGGCCAAGCAAAATGGTGAAACGCTAGACGAACTTCCGTCTAGCGACGAAGAAGACGGCGATTATATCGGAAGCGGAGAGGAAGACGCAGATGGTGATGACGATGACGATGAGAACCAGGAAGAAGTAGAAATCGAGCTTTCTGGGTCCGAAGATGAAGAAACCGAAACTCTTGATGGTGCTGAGGGCGGTCAGACAGAAGATACTGACGAGCCTGTTGATAAGATGGTTGATGGGGATGAGGAGTCAGGAGAGGTGGATCAAACACCTCATGACGACGGAGATGTGCACATGGAAGACGATGATATGAATGTACCTCTTCGGAGGCGAACGGTCAACAGAGCCCGCAATCGAGTCATCGAAGACGAAGATGAAAGCGACACCGAAACCGTCAAGAATGCCACTCCAACCCAACCAGCGACTGAAGATGATGCAATGGCCGCTTTTGGTTTTGGTAAAGCCAACGCCGATGTAGGCCTCACGCAAATGTTCGCAGGCACAATGGCCGAGCTTGAGTCAGAGTCTCGGTCTGCGCCTGTTGTTGATACTGAGCAAGATTCTCTCGAATTCTTGCGAAATCTGCCCGAAACTCAGCCTGTTGTGCCTTTCAGCCAGGCATCAGACTTCATGGTTCCCAACAGCCAATCCATAATGTCACCACAAAAGACCTCACGAACTAGCCCCGAGTCCAATTTGAATTTGGGTATTAGCCAGGTGGTCAAGACTTCACCCACCTTCTCGCAGACACAACCGGACGATTTTGAGCCAACCCAAGACGCCGGCTTTTCCTTCTCGCGTTCGCCAGCAGGTCTCGCTCCACCCCCATCCACTGTTGACACTGTCATGATGACTGTTACTGAGTCTCCGATCAAGCAAAGAAAGGGCAAGCTTCAACGAGGAAGACGGGAGATGACTGTAGAATTTTCTGATGTAGAGGAAGACCTGGAAGATCATGAAGAACAAGAAGAAAGTGAAGATGACATTCAACGACCACCTAAGCCTAGCAAGGATGCCTTCAGAAGGATGCAGCAAGCGGCCAAGAAGGCAAAGGCGGTCGAAGAATTTGACAAGAAGAACAGTATGGCAAGAGAAGCCGTCATGGAGCAAGCTGAAGAGTCCGAGGATGAATATGCTGGCCTTGGAGGTGCTAGTGACGACGAAGAGGGAGAGGAAGATGAAGAGCTGAAGGCCATGATTGATCACAACGATATCAAGGTCGACGAACGTCAAATCGCCGCTTTCTATGCGTAAGTGCAGCTACGTGTCTCATAGTTCATAAAGTCAAGTACTAATTTATCGCAGCGACAAAACAAAGAAAGACGATGAGAAGCAGCTTGCCGAGCTTTACAAGAAAATGCAAAGCAAAGGCGGTCTACGCAGGCATGCAGGTGGCTACGATGGCTTTGACATGTCCGATTCTGAAGACGAAGCCGAAATGCGCCAGCGCAAGAAGCGTGCAGCGTTCCAAAAGCAGACCAATGCCTTGTTGCAGGACCAAAAGGTCAAGGCCCTCGCTGACGATGACAAGAAGAAGGCCTTCTTTAACACACTTGCCGACTTTGCTGACGAAGGTGAATACGACTACCTCAACATACCTGAGAAGGAGATGGATGTGGACTCTTCACAGTCTCAGCCTCAACCACAAAACCAAGACGATGACATTGCCATACCAGACTCGCAGAGCCTCTCTACGTCAGGAAACAGTCCATTGAAACGCAAGTCCGAGAGCTCACAGAAAGAAAACCGTCCACCTCCACACATGCGCCGCACAGCCGCGTCTGACGCACTAAGTCGCAAACCGCTTACAGCCGACGACGTCAAGCACTCTATTTCAGAGCTTATCGAAGACCCACGCGTTGTGATCCCAGACTCGCAATTATCAGACGCCGAGGAAGACGAGGAGCCGACACACGCTAGCAAGCAGTTTCCTCAGCGAAAGCCAATCATTGACCGCCTGACTTTAAGTCGGCAATCCACAGTCGAAGAATCTACTGCAAGTGCAGAGTCAAACATGGCTTTCCACAACCCGACGCGTGTGGCTACTGGACCAGGCTTCCGTATGCCCTCGCTCATCCGTCAGGCTACCAGTAATCTATCTATCAGCAGTGAGCGCTCTAGTGGCAGTAGTGCTTCTGCTTCGGCCCCCAAGGAAGCGGGTGTTAGAAGAGGCGGTACTGGACGCAGCAATATCCACGCGCAAGCAAGAGAAGCAGAGCGCAGGCAGTTGTTGGAGAAGAAGGAAGGAAAGAGGAAGGAGGCGCTCAGGAAGAAGGTTGAAGGTGGGAGGAAGAAGGGTATGAGGAGTGTATTGAGTGATCTCGGGGGTGGGTTCGAGTAATATTCCTGACGTTTGCACGAAACGAGGACAGTGTGGTTGGCATTTGTGTTTTACTGGGTTTGGCGTTACCGTGAGCGTTATGAATCAATGTATCGACAAGCATTTGGATAGCTTTTCTCTGTTGATGAAGGTTTAGGGTAGTGTTTGACTTGGGGCGTTCGAGATATCATCGCAGTATTATGATTACTTGATCATATTTATCTGATCATTCATCTTTTCTTAGACAACACTGTGATTGTGGGATTAGCTACTTAATGATTGGGTCAGGCGTTTGTTTTGTCTCGAGAGCACGGAATTCCAAACCGCATGTGCAATTCTTCATGTTTGCGGACATTACAATTGGGGATCAGCAGCCACAATCAATGAATGAATTCAATGTTTCCTTGTCTTGGCAAATCATCTGCAGTGAATCAGACTGAGTATAGAGAGTGAGAGAGTGTTTTATTCTGGACCTGATCTTAGTGGAATATGATATGAATGTGTGAGATATGGTGGAACTATTTAAATGAAGCTGGAGCAAAACACTACGCGATTTCCTACGCTTGCATGTGATTCTGGGTGACGTATGGCACTGTGTCATTGGACTTGCTGTTTACGTGTGCGATTGTTTTGCATCTTAAAATGTAAAACAACTATGAATAAAATGCCACGAAACATAGTTAAGCTCAATAACAATAAGACAAATATCAAATACGGAAAGCATTTACGAACCCATTTCTCGTCAGCAATAACAACGACAGTAATTTGTAAACATCATCCTGCGTTGCCGTCACTTGGTATCCTAGCAACATGCCTCAAACTGTTTACTCTCACTTTCACTGCCCTATACTTTGCATCCCAACAAATCCCACAACACAAAAAGACACTCCCAAAAGCCTTCCAATCAATTCCACCGCAACCAAATCCATCAACCCAAAATCAAACCATGCCTCTCTTTTCTGGCAAAGAGGCCTTCGTTATCCTCGGTCTCTCACCGATCGAGCCCTCACTCCATCGCCGCTCAGAAAACTGCACCATCTGCACTCTCCCTCTCACCATGCCCCTCAGTCTCGCAGCAGAGACGCCACACATAGCTTCGGAAGCGCCATCTCAAGTAGGTACATTGCCAAACCCTACCGTCCCCCTTGCCAAATTCCCCAAGCCAATTCCCCAGCGCCCTCCCCACGCCGCCACACGCATCAACCTCTGCAACCACATCGTCGGCAAAGAATGTCTGCTCGCATGGCTCGACATCAGCTGCGCGTGTCCTGTGTGCAACCTCACGCTCTTCGACGCTACCGATGAGGAGATTATAGAACGCGACGTTGCATTTGTGTACAAGAAACTACGACATCTATGGAGGAAAGGGGATATTCTGGCGGCGATTGAGAGGGTCGTTGCGAGGAAGAGGTTTGAGCAAGGATGGCGCGAGGCGCGGGCGCCTGGAGTTGATGCGGTGGAGAACAAGGGCGAGGGAGAAGGTGCGGTGCTTGAGGGTGAGTTCTGGGATGGGAGTGAGGATGGGGATGAGGAGATGGAAGAAGAGGAGGAAAGCGAAGATGGCGAAATTATTGAGAGCGAGGAGGGCGATGAGGACGAGGAAATGGATGGCAACGAGGGCTACGACCGGGAGATCAAGGACGAGGGCTATGATGATGTCGACGGTTCAGAGGGTATGGATATTTCGGACTTTCAGGAGTGACTGGGCTTGAAGTCTTACATACAATGTTACTGGACTTGGTCAACAAGTTAAATGGATACATCGTTGCAACACCACGTTTGGGTAACATGACGACAAACAATCCCCCCCCCCCAAAATAAAATAAAAAAATAAAAATAAAAATAAAAATAAAAACCTTTATACACACAAACAACCCATCATACAAAGTGCCTATATCTTGCAATGTGTTTCCAACGATCATATCACGCAAGCTGTGGAAATCCAGGTTCCGACCAAGACCCCTTTCTTACACTGACATTAGGTCGTGATCCATCCCACCCAACCGACCTGACGCCAATTCCCCTCGCTAGCATTGGTGCACCATAAAATACACTTGAGAAATCTGGTACCCACCACTCGTCTTAGACGCTACATAAGGGGGGGAACGGAGGGAGCTGACAATCGTTGCAGCCAGCTGAAAACTAGTCGTCTCGACCTTCCACATCGAATAGTCAGAACTCCATTTTCCCCTTCTCTCTTTTGATTATTCTTTCCAACTCAATTGTTATTCGAAATTCTACTGCAGGTGAAAAAAAAGAAGAAGAAGAAGAAGATGCTACTCCACTCATCACGCACCAGCTTCCTCAAAAAAGACACGGAACCCTGCACTCAAACTACAAGCCCATGTCCCATCTGCCACGAAACAATCGCCTGCACCACGTCGACACGCAGCCTGCGCATTTGCATACGAAACACCAAGACGGCAGCTAGAATGTTCATTTTGACCTGCCGCCGCAATGTCAATACCGGCCACAGGACTAGTAGCATGCTACTTCGGCCCCGCACCAAGCCCTCGCGCAGCAACTCGATGATGCGAATCAAGCGGTGCGGCCACGCCTTTTGCTACGACTGCCTTGAGACGTGGGTGCAGAAACAAAACACTTGTCCCATGTGCCGGGACCAGCTGTTTAGTGATTCACGGCGTGAAAAGTACAGGAGCGAGAGCGATCAAGGGGATAGGGTGTTATTACTGACGTTGAGGGGCTATCTGGATATGCGGGAGGCGAGGGAGGTGAGTGATTCAGTTGTGCGGAGTGCGCTTGATAGTGATGGGCATGGCTATGGAGGAGACGAGTGGGCGGATGTACATGGGGGTGCAATGGTGCGGGGGAGTGAGATGATATGACGGAAGGGGACGGCGGCAGAAAGAAACATGGGGAAACAAGAAATGATAGGCAGGTGGTGGTGGCTATGGCGCAATTTCCAGTGTGCTGGTTTGATTGCTTTTTGGTAGAAGTAAAGAGCCGTAGTCTGGGTGTGGGGCTGTACTACTATGGTTGTGTATACTTGGCATAAATGTGGATTATCAAGCAAACGGGCGCCGATAGGTTGATGGTGGCTGTGCAACAGAGCAAGAGTGTGGCTTAGTGCAAGCCTGCCTCTCTGTGGCTAAGGGATTGAATGTGCAGTGGAGTAGTTGTAGTGGAGTATGTAGGAGGATTGTGACTGTCTCGGGATATCCAAAGCCCTAACGTATGGTGTTTTGGACTTGGGCGCATACAGCATTACTACTGTGTAGTAAATGGCCTGAATACAAATCAGATGCAGATGTGCAAACTGTAGCAAAGAAAAGGCTATGGTCGCGTCCCCGTCAAATCCGGGGCAGAGGTTCTGGGTTCTTGCATGACAGATGCGGGAGTGTCTCGGCTTTCATGCTTGACTTTTGACATGACTGTTGCAAAGCGCCCGGTAACCCTGCTACGTGGAACCCGTGATCATGACGAGATTGACGAACACTATACATCGGCTTTGTTGTCCTCACTGGTCGCCGAGACTTGAAAGATGCCATCAGCCATGAAGCAAGGCCATGATTGTCGTCAGCACTGGCACCGGGGTTAGCGACCTACAGACAAGTAGGCAGGCGTGGAGTTGTCGTGTGCATGGTCAAAACAAACGTGGATGTGCATATTCAACAGAAGCAACAGAGCCAAGCACAATTTTTCTTTCCGGTCAGCACAGACATGAGTCACACATAAGCGAAGAAAAGATGCATGCCACCCCAGATGCGGCGGCGAGCGCGAGCCAGTGCCAGCCAGTGCCAGCCGCAGCAGCCAACGCCTCTGCACCCCACCCCGCATCCCCTGGCTTTGCTGCCTGGACATGTGTCGCACGTCGGTGTATAAAGCGACGCGATGCTGTCGTTCTCGCAGCGACACCAAGTGGCTCGATGCTTCATGCGCTGCCGTCAGAGTGACACGCGGCAACAAAGCAGGGGGAGGCGTAGGCCGTCGCACCAGTCGCAAGGGGGTTGAGCAGACTGCAGAGGGTTTGGGCGCGACAGCAGGACAGCTGAGCAGGGCAGGCAGCAAAAGGCATCAGGTCGTGCTGCTGTGAAAAAATTTATCTTTTCGCGTTGCGCCGTTGCAAGGTGGCCAGAGGGCGGCAAATGAGGCGAGGGGGTCGAGTGGACGGGCTGGGGGTTGGGCCTTGGCTCAATCCGGGTCAGTGCGTCGTCATGGCTGGTACTCGTAGGCACCAGCAGCAAAGCTGCCATGATGATCAGTCCAGCACCGCCAAACTGCTCTCGCCCCCACGACGCCGCCAGGCTGTGCATTGTGCGTGCGGCGTGTAGCAGCAGCAGCAATAATGGGCAGCGGGAAGAGCAGTGCAGGCATGGGCGCGTGCATAATAATGATGACAATCACAGTGGGATTGGATTGGCGACGGATGGAGAGACGGATGGATGGACGCAGACGGATGGCGGTGATGACGAGCAGAGGAGGTGAAGGAAGAGGCGAGTTGCATGATGCTGGCGAGCCCCCTTTTCTTCACTGGCAAAATCTTCTCGCTACCCAAAAGGTGACGCCAAGCCCCCAGTCGCCGCCCCATCCCTGCCCGCTAGCGCCGCGCTAGCAGCTTGGCACGTCGCCGCCTGCGACTATAAGTACTCGGCTTCCCCCCAACTTTTTGACGAGATTTCCGCCTTGCCCGCCGTTGTCGCAACACCGCAACCTCTCAGCTTCCCATTGCCGCAGATCGAACTTCATCTAGTTTCACCTGCGCGCCCTCTAATACTTGCGACCCACAAGCTTCGGTGTGCCCAATTTGCACATATCCACTCTCTCAGAGGTCCCAGGCGACTGCGATACTGCGATCGGCGCTAGCTTTATCCAGCCTGCGATAGCCTTGCGAAGTAGCCTCAGCCCCAGTCGACAATCGACTTACCCCGCCAAAGGCTTACTGGCTACGCTTTTGGTCACTTAATCTCCACACTAACCCGGCCGTCCTCCTTGCGACAGCTTCTACCACTACCATACCATACCACTACTACCTGCTCGACGATAGTCTTGTCGGCGTTTGCGAGGGACACATTCGCTTGTAGCTCTCCTGCCTCCGGTACCGTCTCCACCTATCCCATAGGCAGACCCCTGTGCGTCGACCGACCTCGCTCTATCCGAGCGATCTCGTAGTCTGCCCGCCTTGACCGTCGCTGCCGTCGCAAAGATCTATATTCTGACCTGCGCAGTCTGTCAAGATACCTATATCTCTCCACTAGCGTCTATCGCTCCAAATCCAATCAATATTCTCATCATGGATCCAAACTCTCTCACCTCTCATCCGTCCACCGCCGCACAGGCTCAGACGGTAAGCTCTTGTGATGTCTCACTCATTTGCCGCGCCATTCTAACCTCATCTCCCAGTTCGTCGCCCCTGGCTCTCTCTCCTACCCTCAAGGCGCGAACTTGGACATGACTGCACCCTCCACTGAGCACAACACTCAACAGGTCGCTGAAAACGCGAATGGTGTTGCTACTCCCGCGGCTACTCCCGATACCCAGAATGGTCAAGTGCCCTCTGGCATCGTGCCTACTCTTCAGAACATTGTCGCTACCGTCAACCTCTCCGCTCGCCTTGACCTCAAGACCATTGCTCTTCACGCCCGCAACGCCGAGTACAACCCCAAGCGTTTTGCTGCCGTCATCATGCGTATTCGTGAGCCAAAGACAACGGCTCTGGTCTTTGCGAGCGGAAAGATGGTCGTCACTGGTGCCAAGTCTGAAGATGATAGCCGTCTTGCTTCCCGCAAATATGCGCGGATCATCCAGAAGCTAGGGTTCAGTGCCAAGTTCACCGTACGTCTTGCCGCACTAACCATGTTTCAGCGCCACGCTAACTTGATAACAGGACTTTAAGATCCAGAACATTGTCGGCTCTTGCGACATTCGCTTCCCCATCCGTCTTGAGGGTCTTGCATCGCGCCATCACACTTTCTCGTCCTATGAGCCTGAGCTGTTCCCTGGTCTCATTTACCGTATGATGAAGCCTAGGATCGTTCTTCTCATCTTCGTCTCTGGCAAGATTGTCCTCACCGGTGCCAAGGTCCGTGAGGAGATCTACCAGGCGTTCGAGCTCATCTACCCAGTCTTGTCGGACTTCCGCAAGTCTTGAGCAATTCTATCCACAATCTTTTTTCCTCACTCAGCCTTGAATAACCACCCGGCTCCAGGTGACATGGCTATGACTTGGGTATTCTCTTCAACCTTGTCTTTTTTTGCGGCATTGCATGGTGTTCCAAGGTGGGCTTCTTTTCCTTGCTCTCAAACTTTCCAAAACTCTACAACATATATCCCCAGTCACGATTAGACATCTGTACATGGGCAGCCTTCATCTCTTGGTAATCTGGGTCACTGAAGGCTTTTCTTCTCTTCTCTTTTTTTGATGGGTATGATTGCGTTGGCGGGAGGCGCGTGTGGGGACGATACCGAGATTGCTTTATTGGACAGATGATGAAACGCGAGGACGCGTTGATGAGTGCGACCGTGAAAGTTCGCACTGAGGAGGGCCCTCTTCGGTTGCCGATAGGATACCAGGGCTCCTCGGTGATGGATGCTCAATATCCATTATGTATGTGTATATGACTCTTGGCCTTGAGACAAGTTAGGCATTAATGTCATTACGATATGATAACACCTCATGGCATTGTTAGGCTTGCGATGCTTTCCTTCCTCTCATGTCTTATACACTGCCTGCCCATAAGATACCCCCATCGCTTGCAAATACCCACTCGTCCAAGCTCAACAGGTCGGACTTGCTGAACAGCAAGTAGAAGTACTTGAGTGTCTGCATCGTCATCCTGAACTCTTCATCATCTCTTTCAGCGTCGCCATTAAGAGCTTGCTCAACCTTCTCTTCCATAACTCGCTCCACACCCTCCCACATCTGCCACCCAACCTCTCTCCACCTCTCTTCTCCCGTAACTCGGTACAGAGTAAACAGACTCATTACCACTTCTGGCCTGACGCTTGGCCCCTTTTTATCCCATATCTTCTCGAACCCAGGGTACTCTTGTTCTGGCCACACATTGGGGTCAAACGAGCAGTCTTCGTCACTGTTGCTCAGTTCCGACGATGAACAGGCTAGCATCGAGAAGTTTCTTGGCATCATGTTGCCGTTGAAAGAAGGAGGGGCGTGCAGCGTTGTCCATATGCAGCCTTCGGTTAGAAGACGCGCGTAGGTAAGGTGAGTATCGTTATGCGTGAGTGCTGCTGACAAGGCGAGCGTGCTGCCGAGAGTGCATGACGAAATGTCAAGGTTGTGGGTGAGGGTTATGTGATATCTGTCAGAGGTGTATGCAGGGCTGGCCATCATGACCGACTCGTTCGTGGGGGTTATGGGGCGGAAGAGGATGTGTTGGATGATGGCATCGAGGGCGCTTGTGGACATGCTGGTATATGGCGATGCAGTAGGTGCGGTGGCGACGAGACGGGTCATCAAAGTGTGTTGTGCATATGCAGGGCCCGATGCAGCATCTACGTTGAAGGTGTTGTGAGAAGTCAGGTCGAGGGTTTCCAAGTTGATTTCGGCGGGCCAGAGACCGGGGATTTTGGTTCTTTTTTGCTGCGATTCGAGGATATTGGTGACACGCGTTACAGCATCGTAAAATCGCATGTCGCCCGTGAGCTGCGACAGTCTGACAAATGCCAGGTTGTAGGTCGTGAGTTCTGCAAGAGTGGCATTTCCTAATAATTCTTGTTTTTCGCCGTCGGCGACTTTTGTTGCATTCCAGGATGTGATAGGTAAGCGGCTTGAAGTGTCAAAAAAGGTATAGAGCATGTCGCCCAACTCGAGAGCTTTTTCTAAGAGCCGACTATCGCGACACTCTTGGAGGTCGTATGCTGAGAGCAGAGCATACAGCAGTCGCGTCGTGTGTTGTAAGCTGGTGACGTGGTCGTGTGGCTGGATATTTATTTCGATAATGGCCACGACGGCTTCTTTGAATTCTTCCGTCAGTCCCATGATCCAAAAATTCTCGAGACTTTCAATAAGAATGGTGGTCTGTTCTGTCAAAATCGACTGCGGATTTCCAGCCATCGCTGCATCCATTGCTGCATCCTTTTCTGCACTCCAGTATCTTTTTAATGTTGCTTTGACTGCGCCGTGACGACGCGCGCGCACAACTGTCTCTCGATACGAGGATGCATCAGTGATGAATTTATGTTGTATTCTTTGTGGAAGGCCACTTGCTGGCAATGGTAGCTGTGCAAGGGTGTCTACCGGATGGTGCTGGATGGTAGTCCTGTAGAAGCTATGCTTTGATGAGGTTAATATAGAAGGTTTTGAAAAGTGGGTAGAACAAGAATGTTCGTATGACGGAGAAGAAAGAAACCAGAAAGAATGGTTTGACTTGTAGAAAATGAGAAAGGTGAGGGAGACCAATATGAGAAGACCTGACCACCGTGTACCGGTTCGTGACCTGGCTGGCGACAGGCCGAAAGTGAGGGAGCCTTTGCGATTATGCATGATGATTGAGAGTTTTCAAGGAACGATGAAGAGAATTATGAGGGGAACGCGAGGAAATAAAACCACCAAAGTGGTGGTGCGTTCGGAACAATTCATGTTTCAATGATGCAGTTGCTATTTGTGAGCAGTCGTGGAAACCATTCGCATCGTTGCGTGTATCAGCGGTGCCCCTGGTTGAAGTTCAAGTAGAGTTCAAAACTCGTTGGTTTCGAAACATGTCTAGCAACATGTTTTTTGCTGTGTGAGCCTTTAGTAATTCCATGACTATTCATGTGGAAGTGTGTAGAGCCTGGAGACGGGATGCCGAGATAATGGAACATGATGGTGCCTAGGGAGGGGTGGGTAGGCGCGCGAAGCATGCGGATGAAAACAAGAGAAGTGTGCGAAGAGTCCTGAAGTATTTTGCCCTAATATACAAGGCTCCTGGAGGAATTTTATATTCTTGCACCTTGGACGGTGGGATTGTGGGAAACGAGGGAACTGTTGGGTCGTGCGGGTCTGCATGCAGCCGTGTGCGTCAGTAGCTTGGCGCCTTCCTCCTTTCGACAATCACAGCAAGCCATGTCAACATGGCTTCACACTTACGCCCTCACTCTTTACCGCGTAGTGATGTAGCCACCACTTTTCCTGTAGCTCTAATATGTAATTTTCTTATACCGATGCATTCCTTCCTTAGGCCCTACCAGTACTGCCGCCTTTCCCATCGCAGCCGCAGTCATGCGCATCCCTCTCTTCCGCATCTGGTACTCGACC